GGTGTCGGCGCGGTTCCGGAGGAACCTGCAGCCCACCCTCACCTACTGGAGCGTCTTCTTCAGCTTCGGGCTTTGCATCGCGTTCCTGGGGCCCACGCTGCTGGACCTGCGCTGCCAGACACAGAGCTCCCTCTCCCAGATCACTTGGGTCTTCTTCTCCCAGCAGTTCTGCCTCCTGCTCGGCAGCTGCCTCGGAGGGGTCTTCAAGAGGACGTAAGGCGCCTCCCGCAGACCCCCCTTCCCCTTCCCGAGGCGTCGCCTCCCCCCGCATCCCTCCGCCGGGTTGCCGTGGCTGAGCCGGGATGCTGCGGTCCGCGTGGGAAAACCCGAGTGGAGCGGGAGGGGAGGGAAAACTGGCCGTGGGATGCGGGGCTGGAGCCGTGCTCCCATCTCCCGCATGGTCCCATACCCCAGAGAGAAGCCACCGGTTCCCCCAGAGCTCAAGCATGGGGGGGGAGCCTCGGTGTGAAGTTCCAGCCAGAACTTCCTGGAGGGTTTTTTCCTTAACGTGGTTCTTGATCACAACAATATTATTGGAAGCCTATTTTAATAACCTCAGTGTCGGGGATCCAGGCACTGTTGTGCTCCCTGGGAGCAAACACGAGGTGAGCGGCCCTCGTGGTCCTGCTGCTGGGATCCAGCAGCTCCTTCATGGGCCACTGCGAAACCCGGACAGGGATTTGTTCAGGATGTGTTTGAGTAAGTCCCACACAACGGCTCAACCCTGAAGATGGCCAAACAGGCGTTTGATTTGAGGCTTGGTGACGGCTGAGCTTCAGCTGGTTATTTACCTTGTCACTAGTTCTTCAGGCAGTGATGTAACGTGTGAGCTTGGGGTGTCTCTGATGTACACGTCATGTGTGTGTTTAACAGGGGTAGGGGAGAATTTTGCATGAACCCTTCACTGTAAAATGCTGCTTAAAGGTGTTGTGTTCAGCCCTCGGGAATTGTGGCTAATGAAGATGGCATTAGAGCACCTGCTAAATTGCCATCCTGGGACATTGAGCTGCCCCAGTCCCCTTGTCCGGACAGAGCCTAGAGGGTTCCTGGAGCACCTCTTGGTCGGGCTGTGCCGGGAGAGGTGGCTGCACGGGAACGGGGACAGCACGTGGGAACCTTGCCCTAGGTCTGACAGGGATCTGCGGCTGCTGGGTCAGCAGGTAGTGCCTCTGCCAGCCCTCATTCTGCTTCGCATATGTTTGAAGGAGCAGCGAAGGCAAATGCACAATTGTTTCCTGCTCTCGGCTTCCTCTCCAGTGCTCTTGCCCTCGCCCAGCCGGTTACGTGCACCCCAATGGGGTTTTGTGCTCAGAGACTCCCAGACTTTGAACTCTGGGGAGAACAGTGCGTGTGTTGCGAGTCGTGGTTACGAGCTGGGATCTGTTTGTGATCCCAGCCTCTCGGAGCAAGGGGCTTTGGCAGAGGGGCTGCGAGCCCCACCGCAGAGCAGCAGCCAGGCAAGAGGGCACGGTTCAGGTAGTTGTAGCTTGTGAGCATCATGGGGGTTTACTCAGAGCGGCGTGATGTACAATGTGTGGGTTTGGGTGAGGATATTAACTGTTCAGGTGCTGAGAGCATCCCCTCGCCAGGGATGGACACATCGAGCTGTCCTGCTGTGATTTCTACATCTGGGCCATGCTGCAGGCTGATAAATCCAGCCCTGCCAGGCAGGGAGGAGTGCTGGACAGGCTGTGTTTTCCAGTTAGGAGATGGATAGCTGCTGGTAGAGGATCCCAATGTGTTGCCTGCCTGCAGGCTGGCCGAGCCAAGGTCTGGCTGCAAGCTGTGCTTGATTTCTGGTGCCTGAGGAAGGCAGACTTTGCTGCTCGCTTGTGATTAAAGGCTGTGTTGGTCTGAGCTGTCTGCTCTGAGTGATGGACTCCACGCTGTGTTAGTGGATCCTGCAGCAGAAATGGGTGGTGGGACCTAAATAATGGTTTGGTTCCTCTCAGCAGAGAAGCTGCTGAAGGCTGAGTTGTAACCTCTGTGCTCTCAGCCCCGCTGGAGTCCTGGAGCACTGGGAAGACAGAACATAATGATGGCACCCGTCCCTTCCGTAACTCAGCGCGAGCTCCAGCGTTCCCTCTGTGCAAGCTTCCAAGGAGGAACAAAGTTTGCCATTGAGCCTTTCCCCGAGTGATGTGGAAATGTGATGGGTGCCTGTGCTGGAGACCCGGGTTTGCTGCGTGCTCCCTTCCCTGGCTTGTTGGGGAACTGTAAGACCCATTGAAGCTCAGGTTCATGCTGGGCTGCTGATCTCTGGTAACTCCTGCTTGGGGTTTGCTGGGTTAGAAGCTCTGCTTCAGAAGAATACAGCTTTATAGAGGGTGTTTGCATGGTCCATGCTGGGAGCTGGAGGGATTGGGACCCTTTTGCCCCTCTTTCTTTCATCGTTACCCCTGGACACTGCAGTGTATGGCCCTGCCCTTGTCTCTGTTCTCTCCCTGTCCTTCACACTCCCATCTTCTGAAGGTTCCTGCTCAAGCACGTGGCTGGTGCATGCAGGACACTTCTCGCTGCAAGGGAAAGTAGAGCCTTTTGTATCGGAGAGCAGAGGGCACAGTGACTTGAGCATGAGCTCCTCTGGGGAGGCGATGCTCCCTGAGCATGGCCAGTGCTTCCTGCTGGGACCTGAAGGCAGATGTGGGATAATCCGTGCAGCTGCCTTCATCCCTGGCCTCGCTTCATCCCCTCAGGGCTTTGGGGTTTTAATTATCAGTTTTGCAAGTCTGAATGAGCCTGATTATCATTTTTCCTCTTGATGTGAGTGACTTAGAAAATGCTCCCCGGGGTGGGAGAAAAACATACTTGAAGTCAAAGAGTTCCTGCTGCAACGGGAACACTGGGGCGGGGGGTTCTGTGTGCTGTGTGGGAAGGAGAGGGGAAGCTCTGCTGGCTGTGACTGCAGGATGGCATTAACCATCCTAATCCTATAGAGGAGAGAAGGCCAAACCTTTTGAGGGGAGCTGCAGACTTTCCCTCGAGCCCTTATGATGGAGCCAGGACACGCTCTGAGAGTCCACGACATTACAAGTTTCATATCATCAAGGGTTCAGCCCCCCTCTGAAAGCCACGGGGTGCCTCATTTCAGGATGCTTTCAAAGAGGTTTGTTCCTTAAGAAACCTCTCAGCTGGTTGTTGGGTGCTGAGCAGTGTCTTGTTACTACATCTTGGGGATCTGGCGTGGGAAGCAGCGATTCCTTGGTCCCATTAATGCCAGAGGCAGGGAAGGGGGCAGCAGGGTTGTGGCATCTTACGGCTGGAGCAAGGGTTTTTGCTCCCTGGGGAGAGGTGAGGTGATCCTTTTTGATGCTTTTTAAGGACATAACATGGTCTGCAATTAACGTTTAACTCTGGCCATGGATGCGCTCCCTCAGCCACACACGACCGGTGCTGTGGTTGCTTTGCTGGGGCTGCAGAAGAGATGGGGGGTTGCTGGGATGTCCTGGGGGGTGTTTCGCTGTTGCTCCTGGCCTTGGATTCCCCCATTGCTTGTGGCTCTGCCCCTCTCCCCTCTGCTGTACCCCAGAGAGTGCTCGACGCTGCTTCTCCAGCCTCAAAGCTGCTTCTCTCCCATTTGCTAGCTGGTTTTCCTGCCATGACTGTGCACATCTCGCTCTGCTCCCTCCCTCATCCCTCCCCCAGGAATCCCACGCTGGATCCCCGTTTTGCTGTCAGAGGAAGATTAGTCCTTACAGCTTTACAAAGCACCGGCTTCTCCCCCGTGGTCCGGGAGATGGGGGCGCACACCAGGGCTCTGGCGCAGCCGGGGCTGTGCCCCACTGCGCAGGAGGGGGCAGGAGACCTGCCCTTGGCCTGGTTTTCTCCCCGGTGCTGGTGTAAGCAACGAGCAGGACGTGGTGGGATAAATCACTCTGGGGCTGCAGATGAACAAGGGCAGCGCAGGAACGCAGCGACGTGCCCGGGGCTGTTCCGGACGCGCAGTCGGGGCAGGAGGGTTGGCACCAGCAGCTTGTCCCTCCATGGAGCTTTCTACCTCTTTGGGCAAAGAGAAGAGATGTGGGTGCTTTACCTGCAGGTTACGTGTCCGTGCTGGGGACAGGCCCCTGTGTCCCACATCCCAACTCATTTACAGCAAGACCATTGCAGTGGGCTTCTCCCAGGGTTTGGGAGCCCGGGATGGGGCTGTGCCTGTGCTACTTACTCTCTACTGTGACTCTTTAGTCCCATCTCTCTGGTTGTTTCAGTGCTTCGCTGTCTGGTCCCTGTTTCCTTCCTTCCTTCCTGCCTTTCCACTTGGCAGCTCCGGAGCAGCGCGGTGCCAGCCCGGGCGCCTGTGGCTGGGCTCGCACCGAGAGCAGGCGCAGGCAGGGCTGGGCTGCTGCCAGCCTTGGGGTGCCATGTCCCAGCGTTGCCTCTGCCACACGCGGCTCCGGGGCTTCTCGGATGGGTGGGAATCCAGTGCCTGCACCGGGAATGGCAGCGGTGCTGCGGGAAGGGTTGGTGCTGCCAGCACAGGGACTCCACGGGGAGTGGAGCAGGAACCTTGGTGGCTCCCTGTGAGGCAGGATGGCACCTGCGGGCACGTTTGGGATGACACAGGGATGTGGATGCCCTGCCAGGAGCTGGGATGGCTCAGTAGCTCTCATGCCTGCTCATGCAATACAGACCCATGTCCCTTTCCCATTCCCGGATCTGCCCAGTTAACAAGGGGAGGTTGCTGGGTATTATTCTGCCTTGAAACATGCAGAACAAGGGTTTGAAGGGTGGAGAACGTGTCTCTCTGAGGTGTCAGCATCCACACAGGAGATGGCAATGGCTGTGATGTGGAGACAATGGGGATGCAGGGTGTGCAGCATCTCCCTTGTCAAGAGAGCATGTGCTGGAGCTGCATTAGTTGGAGCTACAGCCTCTGGGCACATCTCCTGCTAATGCCTACACTGACGTGGGGCCGAAAACAGGAGGAAGGGCTGTGGTGTGGGTGCTGCTCTCATGGTCATGATCCTGTCCTGTCTTTCCCTGTTTCAGGCTGTCTCAGTCCTTGTTCGCACTCTTTGCCTCGTCACTGGCAATCTCCGTGGTCTTTGCCATCATCCCCCTGTGCCACAATGTGGTGGTCCTGGCTGTGGTCATGGCTGTGGCGGGGCTGGCCATGGGTTGCATCGACACCATCTCCAACATGCAGCTGGTGAAGATCTACCAGAAGGACTCTGCCATCTTCCTGCAGGTGAGCAGGGAGCCCTCATCTCCCCTGGGGCTGAGGAAGGGGAGCAGTGACCCCCCTGCTCTACCTCCGTGTCTCATCTCCCGCAGGCCCTTCACTTCTTCGTGGGCTTTGGGGCACTGCTGAGCCCGCTCATAGCTGACCCCTTCCTCTCGGACACCAACTGCATCCTCTCAAACTCCACGGCCAACGCCTCCAGCAACCTCCCTCACATCCGCAAGTCCCTGGTCCCGCATCACCCAGGGAACCTGTCCCATTACGACCTGCCGATGAAGGGCATGGTGGTCACACGTGTCTCCTACGCCTTCTGGATCATGGCCCTCATCAATGTAAGTGCCCAGGCTGGTGCTGGGGACACCCCTGGGGTGTTGGTGGTCCCGGTGGTAGAAGGAGGTGAGGATGAGGGACATGCTCATGGTGAGGATGGTGGTGCTGGTGCGTAGCAAAGGTTTGGGGTTTGCCAAGTGCCCGGATTCCGGGAGGGCAGGAGCCTGCCAACTGAGCCCGTGGTCACTGCACTACCCCTGCAGGGACTGCTCCCCTCTCTCTGGGAGCACGTTGTGCCTCCAGCATCCCCCGGGCAGGAGTTAGACCAGAAGGAGCCACAGGTCAGCCTGGGGAGGAGCTCGGTGGTGTGGGGCTGGCGCGGGGGGGGGGATTTGCACTGATGTTCATCAGTGCCCATCGATGAACTGAGTTACGGGGCTAAAGGCTCAGTCGAGGTGTCTCTGCCTGTTTGCTGGTGCCCTGGTGGTTTGCAGCAGATGCAAGAGCCCTGTGGCCCTTCTTGGTGAGAGAGATGGTGTTTGTCCTCTTCCTTTGTCCCAGAGCTGCTCTTGGGATACTGCCCCGTTCCTTACCCCCCAGTTAGCACCCAAATCCCAGCGCGGTTCAATAGGGCTGGTCCCTGGCACAGCCTCGCTGGGCTGTGACTATCCTGCTGGCGCTGAGCTGCTGCTGGCTCTTCCCCAGTGGCAGGAGCCCCGTGTCCGTGTTTGTCCATGTTAGATCTGGAGTGATGACACCAGATCGTGGTGGTTGCAGCGGTGCTGTTCGTGCCAGGATTGATGCTGAGGGGGTCCCCGCAGTGAGCCCAGCCCCGGGCAGCCCTTGCTGTAAGGTGCTGTAATGAGCTGCTTTGCAGGAGTACCAAAAGGAGCAGTCCCTGCCCGGGAGGAGAAGGCAGCTTTAATCACCTCTGCCTCCGAGTGTGCCACTGGGGAGGTGCTTTTAATTACACACGAGCATCCCGTGTTCTGCCAGTCGATCCCGAGCAACCTAATTGAGTTTGGAGGCACCGCTGAACAGCTGCTTTGAACGTGTCTGGTACGTGGAGGGTGCTGCCGGACCCCCCGCTCTGTTCCTAGCGGTGTCCCATGGGCATCGGGGAGCATGGATGGGACGTGGCGGAGTCACCGTCCCTGGAAGTGTTCACACGCCGTGTGGACGAGGCCTCCGGTGACGTGGGGTAGTGGTGGCCTTGCTGGGAGGCTGGTGGGTGTTGGGATGAGGGTTGAGAAACAAGCACAAGAGGAGCGTGGAGTCGGGCATACGCAGCCCTTGAGGGTGTCCCCTGGCCAAAGCTGAGCTGTTCCTGCCTTTCCCAAAGCCGGGCTGAGGGAGCTGACTCCATTCCCTGTTTGAACTAACCCAACCCACAGCCTGGAAGCACCGGGAGCAGCTCAGCTCAGAGCTGCTGACTCTTCTTTGAGCTGTAAACGTCAGAGAAAGAGGAGGATGATTTAAACCCCCAGGAAGCGGAGGGAAGGAGGGAGCTATAGGAATGGAACCCAGGAGCAGCAGCTTGGTTATGAAATGGTCAGAGCCCCAGTTCCGTCCCGGTTCTCCCCGGGCTCTGTGTATTCTGACAAGACACCAGCTGAAATGATTCATTTCCATGTCTTGCTTTGTTTAAAGTGGAAACGTCTCAATTTGGCTTTGGCATAGATGCAGCGTGTAAAGCTGCCGAAGAGTTGTTTTGATGTGATTGGAGCAAAATGGTTTTGCTTTAGTGAAATGAAGTGGTTGGGCATTATCAAAAGGAAGTGCTGGGATTTCTCCCGGCCAAAACCTTTTATTCTTCAGAGCAAAATTTTGGGTTTTCATCCAGATTTGGGACAAAAACATAGTTTTAAAATTCAGTTTTCCCACAGAACGGAAATTTCATCATCCAGCCCATTCCAAGGGGCTGGAAATGAGGAAAATGTTCCTCTGAGAGAGATGTGTTTGTCCGGAAGGTGGTTTCCCAGGGGAAGTGCGGGTTACTCCATTGTGCTTAGGTTGCTTAAAAGTAGCCTGGACACAATAGCAGGGAACAGCCCCGTGCTCCTGGGGGGAGACACTGAAATAGAAAGGGGAGGGAAGGAGCCTGGCTTATACTTGCTGGGCTGCGAGAGGCAGCAGCTTGTGGAGCTTAGAATAATGGGATAATGCTGGGATGCCCCTCATCCACCGTGGAAAAGGAAATCTGCTGAAAATCGTGAAGCAAAAAGCCCAAAGCAAATGGTTCTTGCACCAAAATCTCTGCCTGCCCAAGAGGGATGGTCAGAAGTCACAGAGCCCCAGCCTGGTGTGTGCTGGAAGGGAGCTGGAAGGGCAGGGATGGTCCTCGAGTTGTCCTTGTCCTGTGGCTGGGATAGGCTGCTCCGCCGGGATGAGTCTGAGCAGCTCAGGGCTGAGGCACCCGAGGTGCTGCCAGCCTGGAGGTAGAGCCGTGTGGGTAGAGCAAAAGGGACTTGGACCCTGCTTTAGAGACGAGGACATGGGCAGCAAGGATGTACCTATTGTTTGACAGGGAACTGGGGAGTCTGGAGCTGGGGCCCTTTTCTGCGTGTTCCTTAAGGCTGGAAGTGCTCAGGGGTGTTGTCACGGCCCAGGCCCTCTGCTTGGGGATATTTTTTGCCAGATCTGCAATTTGGAAGAATAAAACCAGGTCCTGCCCTCCGGAAGGATTAGAACTATCAAGCAAATGCCTTTTTCTTCCATGGGACCGAACTCACTGTTCCTATTCCCATTGTTCCCAGAACAATGAAGTCCTCAAAAATGGATTCAGGCAGGAGAGGCGGGGTAGGCTGGGGGGGAATTCTCCATACATTTACATCGTGCCCCGAGCCAACGAAAGGCAGGAAATTTGGAGCTGGGGCTCCCGCTTGCTCACAGACATGGAGAAAACAGGCGCTGGGCAGCCGGAGGGTGAGTTGTCCCTTAGGATTTCCTGGCTTTCTCCCACATTTTGCTGCAAGATAAACTTGGCTGCGGTGGGAGGAGATGGGAGGAGATGACAACGGGCTCCGGCTGCTTCCCTCTGCCTTCCCTCCCCCAAAACAGGGAACTTCCCTCCGGCTCGAAGGCACCGTTGAGCTCAGGGTGCAGAGGGCTGGTGCTGCGGTGCCTGGATCACTGGTGTGATGGATCCAGTGGCAGGTACAAGCCCTGAGGCCAGTCCCGGGTCCCTCAGTCTCAAGAGGCTGTTTGAAGCTGTGGGGTGTTGTTGTTGGCCTGGGAACCACGAGCTCATCTCTTAGGAGATGCTGAGCAACCCCTGCTAATGGCTGGAGATGGGCAGAGCTTCTTGTTCCCTCACGCAGGGTTTCAGCCGCAGGTCTCCTGTTAGAACCCTCCTGCTCTCCACAAGCAAAAGCTGCTTCATTGGTTTATTCTTTGGGCAGATGCTTGGAAACCAGAACACTTTGGTTTTGAAGGACCAGGACGGTGCTTCATGAGGTTTGTATTTAGGTGCCTTCTGTTGCAGTGTTCCCATTCCCAGGTGAATTGTTCCCATCCCACAGGAACCTCAGCAGATGCCCCAGCCGTGCTTCACAGCAGGAGTCTCTGCTCTCAACTTGTCTTTATATGTTTTTTCCCCTTTTTCCCTTCCCTACCAGCTCTCCTGACAAACCTTCATCCCTCCTGCTCCTTACCCCGCTGCCACCCTCTGTACTTGCTCTTGGAGGTTAATCCAGGCACATAGACCCATGGAATGG